TGATGACCAACCCACACACCAGAAGACGACCACCACCACGTGGGCCATCGGTCCGTCCTGGGCCATCGGTCCGTCCTGGACCATCGGTCCGTCCTGGACCATCGGTCCGTCCTGGACCATCGGTCCGTCCTGGGCCATCGGTCCGTCCTGAACCATCGGTCCGTCCTGAACCATCGGTCCGTCCTGGACCATCGGTCCGTCGTGGAGCATCGGTCCGTCCTGGACCAGTAATAACTGTACTGTAGAGGTGATAGTGGTGGAGGTGGGAGCGACACGTGGTGGTGTGGTCACATCCTGGTGTGTGGTCTGGTCTTCATGGACCTTTATTGACACAATAAAATACGTCTCTAAAGGATAGAGTAGCTTAGACTATGTCTACCCTTACCTTGAGGTTGTCTCGGGGCTTAGCGTCCCCGCGGCCCGGTCCTCGACCAGCCCTCCTTACCTTGAGGTTACCTGGAGATGGTCTCGGGGCTTAGCGTGCCCCCCAGCCACTGAGGCGCTCAGGACACTGCAAACCAGATATAACAACCTTCTACAACTCATAACACAACACGGGTGGACGGATGAGCGCAAAAGACTACAAAGGGAACTTCAAGATGAGCTGCAAGATCTGTGCAAAACAGAGTACACCAAACAATGGGATGACCTAATAAGCAAAATCCAAGTCGACTACAGAAACCCGGGAAAGTTCTGGAAAAAAGTAAAGACCCTGATGGGAAGCTCTTCTGAGGAAACACCCTACATCATAGACGCCTCAGGAAATAAACTCTATGAGGAGAGAGAACAAGAGCAGGAATTCAGGAAGTTCTGGGAACTGCAGCACTACTCCCGACGCAAACAATAGACCTTAACAACATACGCGATGACTGCCACCTTATGAAACACATAACCATTGCGGAGGTCCATAAAACAATTATGGGTTTCAAGAACAAGGCGCCGGGCAACAGCAAGATAAATAAGATGGTATTATCCAACCTACCAGTGATTGCACTCCATCAATACACATGTATAATAAATGCAGCTCTTGCATCTGGACTATTCCCCACATACTTCAAGAATGCCACAATAAGATTAATCCCCAAGCCAGGTAAACCCCCAACCCAAACTGAAAACTACAGGCCAATTTCCCTCCTCGAAGTACCAGGTAAAATATTCGAAAAAATTATCAATCAGAGACTTGTGAAGTACATGGAAGAGGAAGGGAAGTATAACACCAGGCAGCATGGGTTTAGAAACCGCAGAGGGGCCCATACAGCTATAGCCCTGATCTACCAGCATATAGCAGAGGGGCCCATACAGCTATAGCCCTGATCTACCAGCATATAGCCAACGCAGTGTCGAAAAAAGATCAGTGTAATATAGTGCTTAGGGACGTCTCGAAAGCCTTCGACAAAGTGTGGCACACAGGCCTAAAATATAAGATATCTGAACTAGGGCTTCCTGAGAGATTTACTGCTACTCTCTGCAGCTTTATAGACAATAGAACTGCTAGGCTTAATATCGGCAGCTACTTGGGTGACGTAATAGAACTGAAAAGTGGAGTACCACAAGGAAGCTGCCTCTCCCCCACTCTATTCAACATATATACAGCTGACCTACCCCAACCCCAACATGGAGAATACATCACATACGCTGATGATGTTACCCAAATAATATGCCAACCGGGCCCATCAAAGCCGCTACTAGCCGACAAGACCAAGGCAGCAATTGAACTCATAAACAACTTTGAGAAGCAATGGAAAATTAGCACCAACAAACAAAAGTTCCAAATAATACACATTGCGAAAAGAAACCCGGACCCCATCATCCTTGATAACCAGCCGATCCAATATGCGGAGGTAGGCAGAATACTGGGACTTATGATAAATAGAACAGGGATACAAATTCATGTAAGGGACCGACTAAACAAAGCCAAAGCAGCATTAGGAAAACTGAGAAGATTCCGAAGCCTCAGTACTAACATTCAGATCCACCTATATAAGGCTCTAGTTCGGCCGCATCTAGAGTATCCCCCAGTACCACTACACACCATAAAGAAAACTAACATGCAGAAACTGCAAGCAGTACAAAATAAGGCGCTAAGGAGAGCAGCAAAACACCGTCCACCATATGATCAGACAATCCAGGAGCTCCACGAACTCCTGAACATACAGCCACTAAACATCAGACTGCAGCACCAAGCCATCAGGGTGTGGAACACCATCGAAATGTTAGAGGACCCAATGTTTGAAAGATTACTCCAAGATGAGACGCCCCGCTCCCACAGCTGGTGGCCCAAGAGCCTCGATTTACGCTGAAAACCCCGCACAGCTGGTGGCCCAATGAGATACTCGATTCTCTGGACGAAAACCCCGCCCCACAGTATATAATGTATAGATGAGTTATATATGTATATATATGAACAGTTCATATATGTGTATGTATGAACAACTCGATAAATAATATGTATGATAACTCGATAAATAATAATATTGAAATAAAGAGCCTTAAACAGAATAACGTGTGTGGAAGCATCGGAGTGTGTATATATGAATGCTACACAGTATTCATCTATGGACATCCATATATGGTGAAACACATGTGAAGAACCTCTCACACACTCACAGCTCCCTGACAAGAGGGAGCCAGCTTAGCTTAGCTGCCAACACCCACACATGGTGTCAGCAAGGCGGACAGCTCGCCTGCTTTCATACCTCTCACTGTATTTCCCACTTCTAAACTTCCCTTCACCTATGCCTCTCCTTCCTCTTTACTCCCCCCCCCAAAAAAAAAACCTCGACCAGCCCTCCTTACCTTGAGGTTACCTGGAAATGGTTTCGGGGCTTAGCGTCCCCGCGGCCCGGTCCTCGACCAGGCCTCCCCCAGACAAATCCTGCAGTGTTCTTGCTCTGCTTCATAACAAAAACAACTAAATTTTACACATCGTTATTCATGCATTTGAAAGAAGAGTATTTATTTTAATGGGAATTGGAGCCGCGGGAGGTGGACATTGTGAAGGAGAACTTTGACTTCATGTAACCCCATGAAGGGTGGGAGGAGGGGGGGAATGGGGGGAAGGGGGTAGGGGGGGTAAATTCGAATATAATGGATGGAAGCAGATGGAGTTGGTGAGAAGTTCATGAGGGAGAAGTTAGAGAGGAGAGAGGGAGTAAAGAAGGAGGAAGGTCGGATGAGATATTTAGTGAAAAGGGAAAGTTAAGATGTAGGGATGAAAATAAATAATAAGATAGTTTTAGGGTTGAAATGAGAGTATTTGTAGGAGAGAGAGAAGAGGGTAGAGCTGCCACCATCCACTTAAATATATTTATAGACGAGAACTGAAAGTCGTCTCTTAACCACAGTAGTTACGAATACTATCATCACATTGATGATAACTTGCAATAGCATTCAACCGGTAATCATAGAAATCAATGCTTCTAACCTCGTGCCTGAAGCCTCACAAGACTCATCATACTGCACCACCGAGTATAGTGACCTCACAGTCACTCACACGGAGCAGTAGTCGTATAGTGACCTCACAGTCACTCACACGGTGCAGTAGCCGTATAGTGACCTCACAGTCACTCACACGGTGCAGTAGTCGTATAGTGACCTCACAGTCACTCACACGGAGCAGTAGCCGTATAGTGACCTCACAGTCACTCACACGGAGCAGTAGCCGTATAGTGACCTCACAGTCACTCACACGGAGCAGTAGCCGTATAGTGACCTCACAGTCACTCACACGGTGCAGTAGTCGTATAGTGACCTCACAGTCACTCACACGGTGCAGTAGCCGTATAGTGACCTCACAGTCACTCACACGGTGCAGTAGTCGTATAGTGACCTCACAGTCACTCACACGGAGCAGTAGCCGTATAGTGACCTCACAGTCACTCACACGGAGCAGTAGCCGTATAGTGACCTCACAGTCACTCACACGGAGCAGTAGCCGTATAGTGACCTCACAGTCACTCACACGGTGCAGTAGTCGTATAGTGACCTCACAGTCACTCACACGGTGCAGTAGCCGTATAGTGACCTCACAGTCACTCACACGGTGCAGTAGTCGTATAGTGACCTCACAGTCACTCACACGGAGCAGTAGCCGTATAGTGACCTCACAGTCACTCACACGGAGCAGTAGCCGTATAGTGACCTCACAGTCACTCACACGGAGCAGTAGCCGTATAGTGACCTCACAGTCACTCACACGGTGCAGTAGTCGTATAGTGACCTCACAGTCACTCACACGGAGCAGTAGCCGTATAGTGACCTCACAGTCTCTCACACGGAGCAGTAGTCGTATAGTGACCTCACAGTTACTCACACGGAGCAGTAGCCGTATAGTGACCTCACAGTCACTCACACGGTGCAGTAGTCGTATAGTGACCTCACAGTCACTCACACGGAGCAGTAGCCGTATAGTGACCTCACAGTCACTCACACGGAGCAGTAGCCGTATAGTGACCTCACAGTCACTCACACGGAGCAGTAGCCGTATAGTGACCTCACAGTCACTCACACGGTGCAGTAGTCGTATAGTGACCTCACAGTCACTCACACGGTGCAGTAGCCGTATAGTGACCTCACAGTCACTCACACGGTGCAGTAGTCGTATAGTGACCTCACAGTCACTCACACGGAGCAGTAGCCGTATAGTGACCTCACAGTCACTCACACGGAGCAGTAGTCGTATAGTTACCTCACAGTCACTCACACGGAGCAGTAGCCGTATAGTGACCTCACAGTCACTCACACGGTGCAGTAGTCGTATAGTGACCTCACAGTCACTCACACGGAGCAGTAGCCGTATAGTGACCTCACAGTCACTCACACGGAGCAGTAGTCGTATAGTGACCTCACAGTTACTCACACGGAGCAGTAGCCGTTATAGTGACCTCACAGTTACTCACACGGTGCAGTAGTCGTATAGTGACCTCACAGTCACTCACACGGAGCAGTAGCCGTATTGGAGGAACTTCTTGGCCGACACCAATTTGGTCGGTCTAACTCAGCTCTCACTGTCTTGCCCGGAGCCTCAGCTCTCACGCAAGGGAGCTGAGGCTCCGGGCAAGGGAGCCGAGGCTCCGGGCAAGGGAGCGGGGAGGCTCCGGGCAAGGGAGCGGGGAGGCTCCGGGCAAGGAAGCCGAGGCTCCGGGCAAGGGAGCGGGGAGGCTCCGGGCAAGGAAGCCGAGGCTCCGGGCAAGGGAGCGGGGAGGCTCCGGGCAAGGGAGCGGGGAGGCTCCGGGCAAGGGAGCCGAGGCTCCGGGCAAGGGAGCAGAGGCTCCGGGCAAGGGAGCCGAGGCTCCGGGCAAGGGAGCCGAGGCTCCGGGCAAGGGAGCCGAGGCTCCGGGCAAGGGAGCCGAGGTTCCGGGCAAGGGAGCCGAGGCTCCGGGCAAGGGAGCGGGGAGGCTCCGGGCAAGGGAGCCGAGGCTCCGGGCAAGGGAGCCGAGTCTTCGGGCAAGGGAGCCGAGGCTCCGGGCAAGGGAGCCGAGGCTCCGGGCAAGGGAGCCGAGTCTTCGGGCAAGGGAGCCGAGTCTTCGGGCAAGGGAGCCGAGGCTCCGGGCAAGGGAGCCGAGTCTTCGGGCAAGGGAGCCGAGGCTCCGGGCAAGGGAGCCGAGTCTTCGGGCAAAGGAGCCGAGGCTCCGGGCAAGGGAGCCGAGGCTCCGGGCAAGGGAGCCGAGGCTCCGGGCAAGGGAGCCAAGTCTCCGGGCAAGGGAGCCGAGGCTCCGGGCAAGGGAGCCGAGGCTCCGGGCAAGGGAGCCGAGTCTTCGGGCAAGGGAGCCGAGGCTCCGGGCAAGGGAGCCGAGGCTCCGGGCAAGGGAGCCGAGGCTCCGGGCAAGGGAGCCGAGGCTCCGGGCAAGGGAGCGGGGAGGCTCCGGGCAAGGGAGCGGGGAGGCTCCGGGCAAGGGAGCGGGGAGGCTCCGGGCAAGGGAGCGGGGAGGCTCCGGGCAAGGGAGCCGAGGCTCCGGGCAAGGGAGCCGAGTCTTCGGGCAAGGGAGCCGAGGCTCCGGGCAAGGGAGCCGAGTCTTCGGGCAAGGGAGCCGAGGCTCCGGGCAAGGGAGCCGAGTCTTCGGGCAAAGGAGCCGAGGCTCCGGGCAAGGGAGCCGAGGCTCCGGGCAAGGGAGCCGAGGCTCCGGGCAAGGGAGCCAAGTCTCCGGGCAAGGGAGCCAAGTCTCCGGGCAAGGGAGCCGAGGCTCCGGGCAAGGGAGCCGAGTCTTCGGGCAAGGGAGCCGAGGCTCCGGGCAAGGGAGCCGAGGCTCCGGGCAAGGGAGCCGAGGCTCCGGGCAAGGGAGCCGAGGCTCCGGGCAAGGGAGCCGAGGCTCCGGGCAAGGGAGCGGGGAGGCTCCGGGCAAGGGAGCGGGGAGGCTCCGGGCAAGGGAGCGGGGAGGCTCCGGGCAAGGCAGCCGAGGCTCCGGGCAAGGGAGCCGAGGCTCCGGGCAAGGGAGCCGAGGCTCCGGGCAAGGGAGCGGGGAGGCTCCGGGCAAGGGAGCCGAGGCTCCGGGCAAGGGAGCGGGGAGGCTCCGGGCAAGGGAGCCGAGGCTCCGGGCAAGGGAGCGGGGAGGCTCCGGGCAAGGGAGCCGAGGCTCCGGGCCGCGTGTACGGTGATTTTTACCTATTCTTTTCATGTTTTTGGTTTGGTGAGTTTTTCCTCTCCTGCCAGAGTGTCATATATGTTTTAAACGTGATCAGTCAGGCTGTGACTGGCAGCTGATTGTAGGCCAAGTTAGCCGTCACAACCCGACTGGTCCCACACTGACTGCACGAACTTGCCTATTTTCCCCTTGAGAAAATAATCCTTTATTCCAGAAATAATGTTTATAAGTGATAGACGACGACTAAATAGTCATTGACCATTGATGGTCATACAGTGTTCTGTTGGTTGACTGTAATCAGCTCTCATCCTCAGCTCGTGTTAACTGTTAGTTTATGGTGCAGATGAGAGACCTCGCCTGTATCTTCCCGTGGCTCTGTGTGTTCTGTGATGTCTCCCGTCTCCACGGCAGTGTAGTCACGTATTACTGCACGTATTGCTGTACTTATTACAGCATGTATTACAGTACGTGTTACTGCACTTATTACAGCACGTATTACAGTACGTATTACTGCACGTATTACAGTACGTATTACTGCACGTATTACAGCACGTATTACAGTACGTATTACTGCACGTATTACAGCACGTATTACTGTACGTAATACTGCACGTATTACAGCACGTATTACTGTACGTAATACTGCACGTATTACAGCACGTATTACTGTACGTAAAAGAAACCAAAAAATTAAGAAAACTTCAGAAGACCTACAGTCCCGTGCAAGCACCTGTGTACAGCCACACAAACATTTGCAAAACATGTTTAACCTACGCTAGAAACAATCACTCGACCCCACGTCAATTAAGTCACCCGGTAATTTGTTTCATAAATCAACCAGCCAATTATGCAAAAGTTAGTCAACGAGAGATATTGATCACGTCCACAAAGTGTCTAAATCACTGAGAGTAATAGAGCAGGAACTGGTCAGTCTAAGACAGCTTATGTGGGTCGTCTGCTTCCATTACCAGTCATCCAGTCCTTCACACAACACACCCCAGCAGTAACATACACAACAGTATCATGTAACAACACCATCATACACCCCCAGCATTATACACAACAGCATCATACACCCCAGCATTATACACAACAGCATCATACACCCCAGCATTATACACAACAGCATCATACACCCCAGCATTATACACAACAGCATCATACACACCAACATCATACACACCAACATCATACACCCCAGCATCATACACACCAACATCATACACCCCAGCATCATACACCCCAGCATCATACACACCCAGCATTATACACAACAGCATCATACACCCCAGCATTTTACACAACAGCATCATACACCCCAGCATTATACACAACAGCATTATACACAACAGCATCATACACCCCAACATTATACACCCCAGCATTATACACAACAGCATCATACACCCCAGCATTATACACAACAGCATCATACACCCCCAGCATCATACACCCCCAGCATCATACACCCCAGCATCATACACCCCAGCATCATACACCCCCAGCATCATACACCCCAGCATCATACACCCCAGCATCATACACCCCAGCATCATTCACCCCCAGCATCATACACCCCAGCATCATACACCCCCAGCATCATACACCCCCAGCATCATACACCCCAGCATCATACACCCCAGCATCATACACCCCAGCATCATACACCCCCCAGCATCATACACCCCAGCATCATACACCCCCCAGCATCATACACCCCAAGCATCATACACCCCAAGCATCATACACCCCAAGCATCATACACCCCCCAGCATCATACACTCCAGCATCATACACCCCAGCATCATACACCCCAGCATTATACACCCCAGCATCATACACCCCAGCATCATACACCCCAGCATCATACACCCCAGCATCATACACCCCAACATCATACACCCCAGCATCATACACCCCAGCATCATACACCCCCAGCATCATACACCCCAGCATCATACACCCCAGCATCATACACCCCAGCATCATACACCCCAGCATCATACACCCCAACATCATAAAGATCTATAAGACTAACAGGAGCAGTAACATCAGCAGGGGCCACTCTCCGCCCCTACACTTCCCCTACACTAAATTGCAGGGGTCGCTTTAACACGGCCACGCCCCTCCTTCCCCTCATTTCCCCCCCCCCTCCTCCCCCACCCCCACCCCCTCCCCCCCCCCCTTGTATGGTCGTCCACCCCTCGTTGGGTAAAACGTGGAGGGGAGACCCACTTGGTAATGTGTATTTCTGTGTTGCTATATCCAATATATTATGTATGTTTTGTGTTACTCACCGTTGTAAGTAGTCGGACTGATGTTAACATCTCCATCACACAACACAATTACAGAGGTGTCGCCATTTGTTAATTTAATCCGTTCCCACAGACGGGTTCAAAACCAAAAATTCGAAAACCGAGATGAATTTTACTTGAAAAAATAATCTAAATTAATTTGTTCCACACACCCTAAAATATTAACTTAAAATATATATCATACAGAAGACTAGTCACATTTTTCATACACAAAACAATCAAGCATTAATATAAACCATAAATAAAATAAGTGAACATTTAACTGCACTTTACCTTTACTGAGGACACTTGTCGGTGTATGGGATGTTGGATACAACAACACAGGAATATATACCACTATAACACGACACCTGGACCGATGGTACAATCCTGAACCAAGAACCGGAACTACAACACCTCCAATAACATTATATTACAAATCAACCATGCACAGTGAACATAAAAAGAAGAACGAATAATGAAAGAAATAATCCGTAAAAGCATAACTCCTAATCAAAGTTAGACCGGATCATGTTCTATAAAACAAAGAACACTACCGACCTCCTTATTAACAACAGCCCAAAGACGACGGAGAACCCTTTACAACAGTCAAGCGTTGTATACATGTACACCTGCCCCCCCCCCCCCCACGCAGACTGTATCCTTCACAGTACACAGGTATGACCGAGGCGTCTGACCTGTGATTGTTGCCGCTGGAGGCGGTTACTTTATTGTGCACCCCATACCCATCCTGTGAGCGGTAGCGCAAAAAGCATTACAGAGGGCACAAAAGGTCTTTATCAGACTTCATCTTAGATTATTACATAAACAATTTCATATATCCTTCGCGTTTGTCATCTTCAATCCGGTGCCCCCAAAATCACACAAGACAAGCCCATGACATCACCCTAACAAGAGAAATGTTGAATAAAAACACTTGTATAATAGACAAAACCCAAGATGTAAGAAGATTACAAATTCTTGAAGCAATCCACATAAAAATAGAACAACCTGCCATAAATACCCAAATTACGGAACTATATACTCTGCCCACCATGAGAGTAAGAACAAGACCAGAACATAACGATGCCAACACAGAAGACACTGCCCAACATGCTACGCCCACTACACCTCATTAATCTTTGTATGTGCTTCGTGCCTCTAGTGCCGCCTTTTTCTTCAAACTTTAACGCCTTATTTTTCTCCTCTTTATGCCTAATTCTTGGCCCATATGTATTGGTGTACTTGTCTACACCTGACTCTTAATTAATGGTATATATCTAACACGCCCGGTACTGTCCCTCAGTTACAGCCCCGCTCCTGTGCCTGCTTACCTGGCTCCTGTGCCAGGTAAGTCCACTACGGGCTCACCATAGCCCGTGCTACTTGCCCCGCTCCTGTGCCAGGTAAGTCCACTACGGGCTCACCATAGCCCGGGCTACTTGCCCCGCTCCTGTGCCAGGTAAGTCCACTACGGGCTCACCATAGCGCGTGCTACATGCCCCGCTCCTGTGCCAGGTAAGTCCACTACGGGCTCACCATAGCCCGGGCTACTTGCCCCGCTCCTGGGCCAGGTAAGTCCACTACGGGCTCACCATAGCGCGTGCTACATGCCCCGCTCCTGTGCCAGGTAAGTCCACTACGGGCTCACCATAGCCCGGGCTACTTGCCCCGCTCCTGGGCCAGGTAAGTCCACTACGGGCTCACCATAGCCCGGGCTACATGCCCCGCTCCTGTGCCAGGTAAGTCCACTACGGGCTCACCATAGCCCGGGCTACTTGCCCCGCTCCTGTGCCAGGTAAGTCCACTACGGGCTCACCATAGCCCGGGCTACTTGCCCCGCTCCTGGGCCAGGTAAGTCCACTACGGGCTCACCATAGCCCGGGCTACATGCCCCGCTCCTGTGCCAGGTAAGTCCACTACGGGCTCACCATAGCCCGGGCTACTTGCCCCGCTCCTGTGCCAGGTAAGTCCACTACGGGCTCACCATAGCCCGGGCTACTTGCCCCGCTCCTGGGCCAGGTAAGTCCACTACGGGCTCACCATAGCCCGTGCTACATGGACATTCGTTCTGAGTAGCTGAATCTAAAACAACAACAACGTACTGTCCCATCACTTGTAATGAACCATGTAGGGTCGAAACGTTGTGTAAATTTTATAATAAGTGAAATACATTCTAAAGTTATTAATTTCCTTTTCTTCACCTCGAACGAAGAAGAACTTTGTAGAATTCCTCTTCCAATTAAAAGAAGATGCAAGAGCACTAGTCAGAGGGATAGAAGCCCTGAACAAGAAAATAATCAATACAGAATAATCACTCATATATAATGAAACATGTATAAATGAAAACCTGCTGCCAGTATCAGTAAATAGTTAAGAAAGCAAATAAATTAATAAATAGACATATAAACAAATAAGTCGTGAAAATATGATGGTGAGGAGTTTGTAGAGCGAGTTGGCGGGTGTGAGCCGGCAAGGCCCCTTCCGCCCGCCCAATACCGCCTTCAAATAACGAGATTTGAGGATAAAATATAGGGTGTGTCCCCAGGGGAAGAGGAGGGTGAGGGGATATGAAGGATGCTGCAGGGGGGATGGGGGAGAGGGGTTGAACAGGGGGAAAGGGACTGGCGTGGAGGGGGACATATTTGGTGGGGGGTGGAGGGAGGGGCTCAGCAGTGGGGTGAATGGGTGGGGGTGGATCATTGAAAGGGTGTATAAGAGGGTTTTGTTGAGGGGAAAGCTCCATGGAGGGGTGAGTAAGGGGGACGGGGGAGGGGATGTTGATAGAGGGGGGGCGGGTGAGGGGGATAAGGTGGGTGGGGGGGGAAGAGGGGAGAACTGAGCGGAAAACAAAGCAAGGATTATGTTGCCAGCGGCACGATGACATGTGCGCCGCCACCACGGGGGAGGAGGAGACATGTTGCTCCCTGCCACCACAACCACCCGCCACCACAACCACCTGCCACCACAACCACCTGCCACCACAACCCCCTGCCACCACAACCACCCGCCACCACAACCACCCGCCACCACAACCACCCGCCACCACAACCACCCGCCACCACAACCACCCGCCACCACAACCACCCGCCACCACAACCACCTGCCACCACAACCACCTGCCACCACAACCACCCGCCACCACAACCACCCGCCACCACAACCACCTGCCACCACAACCACCCGCCACCACAACCTCCCGCCACCACAACCACCCGCCACCACAACCACCTGCCACCACAACCACCTGCCACCACAACCCCCTGCCACCACAACCACCCGCCACCACAACCACCCGCCACCACAACCACCCGCCACCACAACCACCCGCCACCACAACCACCCGCCACCACAACCACCTGCCACCACAACCA